AAAAAAAAAAAAAAAAAACCCTAGCTTTTGACAGGAAGTGGATGAATATGGAAAATTTACTGCTGGGTGAAGCAAGCCAGGCTATCAATGAATGAGAGGCATTGTGTGTCCCCACTTAATATATACTGAGTGTCTGCACTCTATGACTGAAACTAATTGACTAAAGGATAAAAACACAGTATATAGATATAAAAATACCAGGAGGGTCTGAGGAAGGAGAAAAATAGGGAGGCAAAGCACTAATGGCACAGAGAAATGTGATATTAGCTATTGAAGATATTTTGTAGTTTTTAAATCAACTGTACGAGGGAGAACTGTTCACCTGTTAAAAACTCATTTTGTAAGCCAAATAATAAGGTGACTGAATGTATAAAAGAAAATGAAATTGAAAAAAAAGGATAATTAAAAGATGAGAAGAAAATCTGCCTCAAACCACAAGAATTCACTAGTAAGTACAATTTCTTCCTTGGAATTATGTACATTTTTTTTTTTCAAATTTAAGATTTTTCTGATTAAGTGGAAGACGTCATTACTTGAATAAAATCCCTCCAGTGTATGCACACTAAATTCTATTTCACTACAGTTATAAAAATTACAATTCAAATCAAAGAACTTGTGTAAATCACATGTGAAAACAGATCAATAAACTTATACAAAAATAAGAGCAGAAAAAGAATCATTGACAGTTTATAGTTTTTCAAGGTGATATTATACTCAGATGGCTGGAAATGATGAAGAGGTTAACTACATCTGATTCATTTTTAATATGAAGTGCTGAAGACAAATACTTCTGGTTATATCTTTTAAAAATCCAATCTATTTATACTGAATCATGTATGAAATTAAAATTATATTTAAAAGCTGACCTATATACATAAAAAACAAAATGTTAAGAACATCTAATTTATTAATTACTGAAAAATGTTTATATTTTTACTGAGTAACAGCTAACTCTCTCCAGTTAGTAAAATAATGGAAAATTTCAGGTCAAAAATAAAATTTTTATTTTTCTCATATTTTGCAACTTAGATTGGCAGGGTTTCCTTGCTATTATTATTAGTACATATGATAGAAAAATCTGATTCTTCAGTCATCTTTATATTCATCACTATGTAAACACATCTCTAATCTGCTCTGAAAACTCAAAACATCTTTGGATATTTGGAGTTTATTTTTTAAATCAAACGGTTTTTTAAAGTACAAAAATTTTGAATTTTGGATTTCATAAATCTCTGATTTAAAAATTTCATATGTATGGTCATCCATAAACACATAAAAAGAGTGCTTTGTATAAAATCAAAATGCACATGGATTATCTTCAGATAGGCAAATAAAAGAAAGATCTGTTCTTATCCCTCTTACACTTCAAAAATAAATACAATAGATTTCAGAAAAATTTCATTGACTTCACCAGGACCATGATTAATCATATCTAATAGTTCAAAAACTAAAATGTAATTTATACATTACATTTCTTGAGAGGCTAGAAAATATTATTTTGTAATTGTATGTATCCTAAAAAAATGATAAATTTTGACTTTTCACATAAAACCTATATCCTTTTCACTGAACTTTATTCTATTTTGATATACATTATGATAAAGATTTTACATTTTGTGAGCTCTTTATTTTACCTTAGTATTTCTTGGAAATTTTAGAGAACTGCATTTTAAACTCATTTCAACATAATCATGGTATTAAAAGTGATACAATATAGGTCATCAACATGGATATTATTTTACACCTTTATTTTACTGTTTTTGATGTTCATGTATTCAAAATTTGTGATTACCTACCTCTATGCAAATGTTATAATGTCAACGATTCTACCACAAAGGAAGATATCAAGATGACTTAATAAAAACATATTTAGGGAAATTATTACCACTATCAGATAATTACTGAGTAAGAAAGTATATTTCATAGTTAACTTATTAGGAGATTAGAAAGAATTATACTAATGAGAGTAAGCTATAAATTTTAAACCTGCTGATGGTTGCCATTTTTTTTACTAATTCCAATTTAATGACTATAAACAAACCAAGCACATCAATATCATTTAAAACTTTGTTCAGAATGAAGATTGTATCACATACAGAGAAAGTAAAGTAGTTTGATTAAATTTTACTTATTACTGTTTACTTTTTTAGAGTTCTAAAATTATATTTTAGTCCAAAAATGTGATGAAGTCAACAAATTTTCTGCCCCATAGATGTACCATCAGCATTACCTTGCACTCTTATTTAAGAGGATTATAGGATAAATGCTATTCAGTTTACTTCAGTAAATGGAAATTGAGTTTTAGAAGGCTCTACTTGCTTACTATGCTAATTTTTTATCTTGGAAAAAGAGAGGTGACTATTTTTGTGAAATACATTTGTAAGATCTAATTTTATAGAGGATCTATTATAATTACTATGTCATTAAACTACTTACTGTTCTGTTAGAAACTCTGGGGTATTTTTATTCTTTGTCTTCTTTCCTTCAGAATTCCTTTTTTTCCTAAAAGGAAAACAATACATATAGTAGTTAGTTAGTTACATAGCTCAGAATAATTTCAGATAGTCGTAAATATAACATTAAATTTATCGTTTAAAATTTCTATTTAAAGCTGTTTATATGTAAATACAAATATGAAATAATACCATAAATATTGTGTAGTAGAATATAGACAGGTTGCATTTTAAAGTTGGTTTGAAGAGTGAGACATCAAGATTCAGTGGACGGTTTTTATGAAAAGTAAATTATACTTATACTACGATGTTTCAATGTGTTACCTCATTTTTTTCTTTGTTTGTTTTCCATGAGCAAGAGCACGAGTGACAGAGAGGGGTTCTCTCAGGTTCTCTCCATGTGGCAATTTTCCTATTCCAGCCTCCCAGCTAGACCACAGGTACATGTCCCAATAGCAAGCTTGTTTAGTTGGGACCAGAAACCAAACTCAGACCTCATGTGTGGCCTCAGCTACAGTGCAGTGGGGCCTTCCTACACTTGCCATCATGGCCAGATGCATACTGCCTCAATTTAAAAACTGGAATGATACTAATCTAATCAGACACTGTTAGAAAACATTACATTACTGTATTCATTAAACAACGAATTATGGTGCCAGCAGGTGGAGTGGAGGGTTAAGGCACTGGATTCCACGTGGTTAGCTGTGAGGTTTGAGTTTTGGACCTTAGAGCTTGAAAAAAATCTCACTGGGCATGTGTATGTGTGTGCCCCAAACCTCCAGGCAAGGGGAGAAGGGATTGCAGCATGGTATCACCTCCCGGGAAATGATTCCTCACTCTCTCTCTCTCTCTTTGGTGTGCACATGCACCCTATAGCAAAAACCAAAAAAAAGAATCGTGAGTGTTAGTTACTAAATACCTGATGCTATATGAAGTATCAATATGATTATTATGAATTAACTTTATAGACTTCATGTTACTTTTAAATTTTGTATATTTCCCTGAAGTTAGGAACGCTTCAATGTATTGTACATATTTATTTGCCTATTGCCAGAGCCTAATCAAATTCTAGTTATAACCTAACACTATTCCAATATGTAGGGTTTGTTTATGTATAGATAGAGAAATATCAGTAGATATGCATGTATACATATATTTGTGTGAGTGTATAAACACACACATATATAATATATAATAAACTCATTTGGGGTTAGGATAAAAACAGCTCATCATTGCATTAAAAAGTACCATTTTCAGTTTAAAGCATAAGAAAATTAAATCCTTCCCCAGAGTCAATATCAGGAATTGCTTTAATATAATAAGGATGTCAAGAATTACGGATGTGGTTTGACATGTGAGCAACCTATAAATAAAAAAAGTTCTCAGTGTTAGAGAAAGGCACCTTTTCATATAAGCTTTCATCCTTTTTAGTTCAAAATATTCACGCAGAATGAAAGCCAAGAGAGAATGAAATATTCAAAACCAGGTTTATAATAGGCATGTTACATTGTTTTTAAGATTTCTCACGGCATCTATTTTCAACAGGACTACGCAAATGTTCTAAAGCCAGCAGCTCTGGTTATTGGCTCAGATAGGTACTCAGCGGAAAAGATCTGAAGTGACAGCTATATTTCCAATGCTGCATTTACTGCATCTGTTCAATGGTTAAGCCTCCAAGGTCTGCTTTCATTTTATTCCTGCTTGAACCTCAACTGTTTTCTAGTAAAAATCCATTAGGAAGAGCAATGTTAAAATGCACTTAGATTTGCCTGACTGCCTCTTAAAAATACGACTTTGAGCCACAATCAATTTTAGATAAGATTTCTATAGATAATTTCAGTATACTGACACTTTTCTTATTAAAGCAGAAACTACAACAACAGTCTACAGGCGTATACATTAAGGCCAGTAGAATGACATAAAGTACTTTACGAGAAATATGGGGAGGGGGAAGCTGTTGGAGAAAACAAAGGCTTTCTATTAAAAAATTACAGAATACTTGACACTATAAATATCATACACCATTACTTACCAAGGGGCAGGCTTCCCAAAGGGATGCAGTGAAAGGATTAAACAGTTTTTGTGACTTATGAGCCATCTGCGGGGATTTGATTTCATTTTGGTTTTGCATGCATATCTATCACGAGAATGAATGGGCAAGCTTGTTCTACTGTAGGGGACAAACAACTATTTTTATTCTTAATCTATGCTCTGAATATGGATGTGCACAGTATTTTTCTGATAGCTAATTTCTGTCTTTTGCATGCACAAACACTTTCTCTTTCTTTTAGAGGAAAAAACTGAACATCACTCAGGATTATTTTGTGCTTTCCATCATCTGACTTTTCAGTAATGTAATTGCTATCAGTAGGCCTGCCTGACTCATTTTTCTAGTATGAAGGCTTAGTATTTTTATGATTTTATACAACACTTTTAGAAAAAGACAAGAATCTGTTTAAGTAGGTTTCCTCTTTTTTTTTTCCCACAAAATATTTTATGCTTTCATAGTCAATAAACCTGCTGGCTTTTTAGTGTTCACTCTAACGTAGTTTTAGAAGCAGGTCTGACATGGAGAAAATAGAAAATTATTTGAGATTTAGGGATTATTATTGTTTAAACAATGACCAAAAGGCAAACTCCTCACACCTTGTAAGCCACAATCATGATTCTATTTACAAGATTAAGTAAAACACCGTCTACTCTAGACATAGTAAATACTATAAATACTTATCTTTTTGGGAGAGGAGGGTACTGCTGCTGTTTATATTTATTTTAATGTTAGCCAATTGAAAGAACACACCTGCTTCTTTTTTTCTTTTATAGGCATTCTTTTTTTAATATTATATTTTCTTTTCTTTCAATTTTGTTTATACATTCAATCCTATATATCACTTAGCTTATAATTTTCCAACATGAGTACAGTTCACATCAGTCAAGTTAGGCATACTATACATGTTATCATCAACTGATAAAAATTCATTTCTGCATCCCATAAATGTCTTTCCTCACATTCTCCTCCTTCTCCCATCCTCTTCCCACACTGTATCCAGTATCTATAACTATTTTCCATGTTTCTGTATTCTCTAATCTTTCAGTTTCAGTTGTAGAGTGCGGACAGTCAGTATACATATACATACATATACATGCACATGTGTGCGTGTGTGTGTGTATGTATGTATGTGTGTGTGTGTGTGTGTATATA